GAAGATAAAATCATTTAATCATTTCCAAAATATTAATTCACATACAGATAAGATATCCAGATTGATACATAATGTCAGGTAATTACAAAACCACATCAGCTGATACATCGCAATGTATCACAAAAGAATAACTATACTAGTCTAACTACCCGGTGTTACATATCAGAGCAGCCGACTCAAAAGAATGAAGATAACTTCACAAAAAAAACTCCAGCATCCTAATCTGCAATGCCTCGTAGAGCATTATAAAACAGCAGAAGGGTGAGAAATATAACCATAATAATCAAAGCATAAGATTATATATATATATATATATATATATATATATATATATATATATATATATATATATATATATATATATATATATATATATATATATATATATATATATATATATATATATATATATATATATATATATATATATATATATATATATATATAGGTAATCATATAATTCAACTCCATATTTCTCACCACAATTCACCCTCTTAGTCATATATATTTACCACACATATATAGACAACATGAATATTCACAAAGCATTCCCACATCATGCATACACTCACATTTTCACAATCTTATCATTCACACATAAGCATCTCTTCATGCATATGTCATATATCAATGTGACTCAACAACTCAATGCAACTCATGCAATACGGTACCGACTCTCGTTATCATTGTTCGGTTTTTACATTAAACCGGGTCCACTCTTCTAGACCGATAACAACAAAGGCCCGTCCTCTAAGCCTTCAAACCCACTCTTCTAGGTTTGGGACAAGTCACTAGTCTCCACGAAACTAGCAAGCATTGCCTCTTGACTAAATGATGCATATGCAATCGGAAATCAAATGCACTTAAGACCGACATCTTAATCTCATGCATTCCAATAATTCATCTCTTCAAGAATTACAACATGATTGCACACACAACATGTTTATAACAATTCAAGGTATTCACATTAATACCATTAACGTAATTCACAAGTCATGCACACATATCCACAATGTTCTCATGCATACTTATCACACAATTGCATACAACATTAGGCATTCACAATTTATCAGACAATGCACACATAACCTCTATTATGTTCTCATGCATTTCCAATCAATACAAACAATATACACATCTCAAAACCTAGGATTCACGCCCGAAGGCTACCCACAGCATATCACAATAGTACATAAACTATGCGATTAATCAAGCAATAAACCATAGTCGAACCACACAATCAACCTATGGATAAATCTCAAATAAAACATCAACCTGTCATACTCGCTACTCCTTCACTAAGCGAACTTCTAGCGAGTATTCGCTACTTGTTCGCCTAACGAACGTGCTAGCGAATCTCAACAGAAGTTACTGACTTCATTCGCTACCTGCTCGCTACAGCGAGCTTCCCAGCGAATCATTCGCTATCTCTTCGCTACACTTTCGCTACCAGCAAACACACCAAAATCCATTATGTCCAAGTCTGGGACCATTCGCTACTTGTTCGCTGAGCGGGCTCCTAGCGAGCATTCGCGACCTGCTCGCCTAGCGAGTGTCTGCGTATTTTGTTTTTCACTTACTATTATCCAACTCAACCAACTCCAAAAACTCCAATCTCACCAATCCAATTCCAATACTCTTAGTCTAACATTTCTAGACTATTCTACATCATCTATTTCAGATTTTAACCGATTAAATTGAGTTCTACCGATTATTCCAACTTTTGCCCTAAATGGAAAAGGATGGAAACTACACCAAAACCTCAACCCAACATATATAACATCATGCAATGATCAAATAGAAACATTTCTCACCCTTACCTCGATTAATCATAGCTTTGATGTTGGTTCTTGATGATTTTCCACTTTCCTCTTCTTCTCCTCTCTTTCTCTTCTTCTTTCTTTCCAAATGTTTCTCTCTAACTTTCTTTTATTTTCCTTCTCTATTATATATTTCCTTTATTTTCCTTCCTTCCAATTTCCTTCTCAATTCTCTATTAATTCCAATTAATACAAATTAATTTCCAACATTAATAAAAATCCCACTAAATCAATTAATTACTATAATTAATTATTTAATGAAATTCGGGCTGTTACACACAATAGCTCTCTTCAGGTTTTTCTCTCCTTTTTCACCTTACATCAAACTATTAAGGACAATGTTTGGTGTAAGTATGAGAGGGACACTTTACTTGCTTTCTAGTTAGATTTTCTATTTTCTTTATTTTTCCTAGTCTGTTATCGAGTCATTGCATGCGTTATTGAGTAATTGATGCATATTTTCTACTGTATATCTCTCTTTCCCTCCTTTTTGAGCCATGCCATTTTTTTTTGGAAATTTTAGGAAAGAATAGTGAAAATTTTTAAACTTTCTCAGGCTTAGGGACAAATAGAGATAAGTCACAAAAACTTGGGAGAATTCCTAAAAAGATCGGTATCGTCTCGACACCGTAAGTCTCTTGATTATAGAAATAAATTTGCATACTCATTATTCAAAGACCTTGAATTCCCATCTCTAAATTAGTCTTAAGTAATTTATTTTAGCAGTCAACACCATCTAAGTTACTGCTAAGTGAATGAACCAATGCAAATAAGTAAATGATCCCGAAAAATAATAAATATCAAAAGATTTGAAAAGAGAATCCACCTTCTAAGTTAGTTAACCCTCACTCGGTTATTTGACCCAACGGTAGGGGAATCTTGGAAAAATTATGCTTATGTATATGTATTGAAAAATAGTAAAAAAATGTTGAAATATGGGATCATAATCACCATCAGGTTCGTTTACCATGCAAGTACAAGATAACGGGCTTAATGTGATTGCGCCTGAATGAAAAGAGATGGAAAATGAGATTGGTAAGTTTGACCCGACGATAATGACATGATGTGATTTAGTAGATATAGGAAGGAGACTTATGGTCGCAAAATGCGAAGTGTGTTGTTACAATTTTCTTAGTTTTTCGAGTTAGTACCTATCAATGTGACCATGTCCGAAGTAAAGTCCATAACTTAGTCACTATAAGAATCACTGTTTCCTTATGTTTACACGAGTATTATTTGAGAACAAGCAAATGCTCAAGTGTGGGAGAGTTTGGTGACATGAGATTACATCACTTATTTGACTTGATTAATGCATGTTTTCTAGTCGTTTTGATTTGTATTTGCACTGTTATGTTGGTATTTGGTTTGTTGTCAGGTATTTAGCTACTTCAGAGCCGTGTGCGATGAAACAAATCAAAAGCAGTTAAAAACAAGGAAAAATCAAGATTGGTTTACACTGATATCGATCACGATGACGTTCACCGTGAGATGGCCATGAGTGGTCCACATGCTAATGGTCATAAGACCAGGTCACCCTACTTCTGCAAGCATGGCGCTCGCCATAGGGGTGTGGCATGCCCAACGGTCATAAAGTAGGCTAACCTTGGTCCCCAAGTATCAAAATCTTCTCCTATATTTTCGCACACGAATTCAGTAGCCTTTAGAGAATTTTTAGGATTACTGGTTCATTATAAATAGGCATGTAGTTCATTATTTAAGGCATCCAAGTTTAGTACAACACTTTAGGCATTATTTTTTCATCAGTAAGCTTTAACTCTTCGCACCGAAGGGTTATCGCAAAGTCGATTGAGTATGTATCAAACTTGGAGCAACCCTATATAAGCTTTACTTTTTTTATCGCTGCGAAGCCTATCAACATTTATTTAAGTTTTTCTATGTATCCAGACAAAAGTCTCTTTGGAGCAAGTTTTTATTTAATTGCTTTATTTATTTCTGTTGTCTTTATTTAATTTCTCGCACGCATTCTACTTTCGTTTAATACTGCATTTCTTTAATTATGTTGTTTATGTTTTATTCCGTTATCAAATTCATCGCATTTACTCACTTTACAATTATGTCGAACTAATTTTATAAGTGTTGGGATGTGAGGACTTTAATTAAACATACATTAATTGTTCCTGTAGAATTTTCTTTGAGAATGTTTTGGTTTTTAATCAATTTTACTGAGTCTTGTTTTAATCTGCCTTAACGTAAGTGAAACAGTGAAACACCGGGTAAGGTCGAAAGCCGTCTGATACAAATAATTTAAATTGTTTAGTCTTTGATTAATAAACTCTACGAAAGTATTTTTATTAATTAATCAAGAAAGTTTAAGGTTTCTAGCCGTGTGGTTTTAAAACTATTTACGAAAACTTATGAACCCTTTTTAAATTATACTTTCCAATCAAAAATCACTTTTCTATTTAGTAAAAAGTTTGATTTTTCAAAAATGGGTTTATACTTTAACACAACACGCGCCTACCATGAGTGACGATGGAAGGGTATAAATTAGAGAATAAATTCGGTTATGTTTGCGAAAACAACAATTCCCGTTAAATTATTTTTTTTCGAAATATGAAATATTGTCCTATCGAAAACTCCCGGTTAGAAAAATGAAAGTGCGATTAATTAGTAGATCCCACATTCTCTATCCAATTTACTTAATACATTTTATTTTAACATACTTTTATTTCCGCAATCAACTTCTTTCTTGTTGTCTTAAATGTAGTTTGCTGTTAGATTAATCTAGACCATTAGCCTATTTTAAATTTAATATAAAATTATAATTAATAATTTTATTGTTTTTTTAATAGGAAAGGATATTTTTATCCCTTATCTTATCTTATTAGGTTAGTAAAATATTTGCAATATTACATGTATCCAAAATATGATGATTAAACTATAAAGTAAACTAAAGTAAACAGTGGACCACCAATAGATACCGTGGCACTCATAGGGACGGCCGTTTACCGAGTATTAATCATGAAGTACCAGTAGTACTAGCAGTATTTAATTTGTTGGAGATGAAACAGAATTTTTACAAGTGGCAATTGTGAAGAGGGCGTTGGGATTGTCAGTCTGCAGTTCGTACTCTGTCTCAAGCTCCAAGATCGAGACAACCCAAGAACCATCCCAATTCCAAAAACCCTAACTAACTTCAAATTCTAGATCTACACTCCCATGGCTTCCTCCAAGCTCATGTCTTCTTCCAATTCAATCAACTCCGACTCACCTTCATCTCCATCTTCCAAACCTCATTTCACCACCTCCAATTTCCTCTCCGTCTCCGACACTTCCAACTTCTTCGCCGATCAAGCCTCACTCGCTGATGCCGTAGCAACTCCGAGAACGGTTGACGATGTTTGGAGAGAGATTGTCGCCGGAGATCACAGGGAGTGTAAGGAGGAGATTCCCGATGAGATGATGACGCTGGAGGATTTTCTCGTGAAAGCCGGTGCGGTTGACGATGAAGACGTGGATGATGATGTTAAGATGAGTATACCTATGACGGAGAATCTCAGTGGGAGTGGTGTGTTTTCGTTGGATTCGAGTTTTCAAGGAATTGAGAGCGTGGAAGGGTCTGTGGTAGGGTTTGGGAATGGAGTAGAGGTGGTTGAAGGTGGGAAGGGTAAGAGAGGACGCCCGGTTATGGAGCAGTTGGATAAGGCTGCTCAGCAGAGACAAAGAAGAATGATAAAAAATAGAGAATCTGCTGCCAGGTCTAGGGAACGCAAGCAGGTAGTATTCATTGTTTTTTTGTTGTTGTGTTGTGTGTGATACACTGATACGTGCCCTTATTTCTTCGTGATGTGTGTTTTTGACTTTTATTTTGTTTTGATTGTGGGATTTTAGGCTTACCAAGTGGAACTGGAGTCTTTGGCTGTGAAACTAGAGGAGGAAAATGACAGGTTGATCAAGGAAAAGGTGATTTATCTTTGTCCTTCCCCAGATTTTTATTATTTATAAATCACTCCTAGTGGATCACAATTTTGATGTAATAATTGTAGTTATCAAGTAGTTTAGTCTTATTCTCAAGGTCTTACGTTCGAATCCTATTAAGTGCAAACAATTCTTGTGTTGGGCCAAGTCCATGCTTTGCTCTGGCTTTAAACGGCCCCGCAAGTGAATGGCGGGATTGGTCCCCTTGTATTAGTTGGTCGCAAGTTTGGATTTGGATACCAAGATTTAAAAAAAAAAAGTAGTTTAGTCATGTAAATTTCCGTAATGGTGAAAATCATCAATGGCTCAATATAATCTATCCTTAAACTTTGTTGGTAGGATTAAGAGTAGGGTTTGGATTGGCGATTTTCAATTTAGTGGATAATTATGAAATTTTGTACTAACATTTAGGAACTAAATTGTTTGATGCTTACAATCCTAAAGACTAATATGGTGATTCACTCGATTCACATTTTTTTTTGTTCTGTGATGAAATTGAACTGTTCATCTGCTTATTAAATAAGAGACTAAATTGTAATAAGTGCACTCAATGGGTGTTTGTTAATAGATAATGCTAAATAGCCAATTTCCATTGTTGAAAATCTTTTGTTTTCTTTAAACAACAAAATCACTATTCCTTCTTTGGATGTTCAATTAGTTTTACATGGATTATGTCAATAACTGAATCCAGTTGTAAAATTTCATTCCATTTGTGTCTGGGGCAGAAGTTCCTATATTTATTCTCTCGGCACATGCTACTTGTGCTTTAATTGCTTGCTTGTTTAAATTTTGAATATTTCTTGGAGCACTTTGGTCAAAACTTTTGTCTCCTTCATGCTTGTAGTCCTTCTGCATTTTTCGACTTGGAGTTTATTAGTTATTATTTCACTTTTCCCCCGGGATATCTAACAGAAAATATTATTGTGCAGGCTGAAAGGAAAAAAGAAAGGTTCAAACAGGTACTGATTTGTGCTATTATTGTTTGTTTTAGATCTTTTGGTAAACGATACAATATATGCGACAATTCTCACATTGTTTAAAGAAATCCTTTCCCATTTGATACCATAGCTGAAGGTTGCTTTCTATCAATGAATATGTTGTCATGGCTGATATTCATCTCCTACAAATTTAATTTGAGTTTTCATTCTTAAATGTGAGGACTTTTCCTATCCACTTTTATTTTCATTATGCTATTGGTTTCTTCTACATTCAAGCATCTCGAATTTGTGTAGTATTTTTTCAAATTTGTTAAATACAACTCCTTCCTTTCATTTTTTAAATGTTTTTTTTTATATTACTATTTATCCGTAATTTTCAAAGTTCAAAGTGATACTAACTATTTTCTTGTCAATAATACTTTTAACTATTTATTGAAAAAAGGAAAGTACGTAGGATGACATAAAAACAGTCAAGAGTATCACAAGAACAAGATAAAATTTAATATATCTTTGAATAAAAATCCTTGGTATTTGTAAAAGACTTAAAACCAACACTTAAAAGAAATGGGGGTTGTATTGCTTACTTTTAATAAAACGTAAATTTTGAATCATTATTTGGTGGGTAGAGGCAGAAACGAGGACACTTAAAATTCTAACATGCAGACCCAACAATAAAATATGTAGAGGCATAATCATATTCCAAGAAGTAAACTCATCGAGATCCTAAATTTTTCAATATTCAGTCCAACAAAAAACTGTTGATTAAGTGCACTGTTAAGGATTTTAAACTGCAAACTGCATCACATGATGTGGTCCACAGAGGTATCAGCCTGCAATTGCATTGCGTTTATAAATCACAGAAAAACCCGCAATGGCCACAACGTCGCGATGATAATCTGTTATCTATTGCATTAGTGTTAAAGTTTTTTTGTTTCCATATGGTTCTACCCCCCAAGTGTCATTGATGTACCTTTCATTGCCTACCGATGAAGAGGACATCAACTAGTTTGCTTGGAAAGAGGGATTACTGGCATACCTCCAAAGCCTGTTCAGGTATCCATTATGCAGCAAGACGACAGTTGTGTGCTGCATACTATATTATTAACAGTATGTTCTAGAAGACATCAGGTTATTTATTGCACCTAGTAGTTGGCAGTTAAGGAACTCTATGTGTGTACGTCTTGAAATATGCTGCATGCTAGAATCTTCAGTATCATAGTTGCTTCCTCTACACACTTGCGGCTGCTTTTTAGTAACCAGCGGTGTTGCGGAAGCTGCAGTTGTTTTTTGTTGTGTGGCCACTATAGTGTCACTATTGGGGTCGTAAACCCCAAAATTGGCTTAAAATTATAAGGTTATAGGGGTAGGTTTGAGTTATTACCATTGTTAATTATGAATCTAAAGTTTTTTATTTTATTATTTATTTATTTATTTTAAAAATTTTGAGCATTTAGATTTGTTTTGTATATTAATTTTTATTTATTTATATAAAATATTTAGAATTCCAATGTGTGCTATTTGCTTTAGCGCAATGGGACCGTTGGCTATGCATCACTATCCAAAGTTGATAATTGTGGATAAAGGAAAAGAGAGACTAAAGAAAACTACATGTCAAGCTATAATGAGAGATATATATTGAACTGTTTATTTGTATATATGGTCCATGGCAGAACATTATGAAACTATTTGATCCATGTAAATTAGCCTGGACCACCTAGGGGGGGAAAATTTTGGTTGTATAATTTTTGAATCATCCATCTCAAAATACACGCTAGATAATATGGTGTGTTCTAGCTCACATAATTTTCTCAATGATTTTTAAGTGTTGTCTGTCATTAATAAATTATTTTTATAACTGAATATTTAACCCCTTTTGTCTGCAAAAAAAGAATATTCTTTTCTTTAAATAATTTTTCTTTTAATATTATTTTAAATTTGAAAGAGATAATGTACAGTGTACTACACTCCACTAAGTAGTTATTATGAATGCACATGTTTTATTGGTTCATGAATGTTGCTTGTGTTTGATACGGGAAATCAAGAATAGGAAAGTCAATTCAGATTCTCATAAACCGAAAGGTTTAAGAGATGCAAAAGAGTTAGTTTGGCAAGTATGATTTTCAAGTGTGTTTTGTTTCATCACTTTATGAAGCTTGTTAGTTGTTTGCTACAAGCATGTCATCACTACAAGCAATGCTGTCAATGTAGAATAGATGTTAGCTATAGTATAGATAGTGATTGGATGACAACTGACCTGGTTTATTTATGTGCAGCTTATGGAAAAAGTGATTCCCGTTGCAGAGCAGCGAAGGCCACCAAGGTTACTCCGTAGGGTTCGTTCCTTGCAATGGTAGATCATACTTGCTAGTGATGCAGGATGTGAAAGCTGAAGATTGTGGGAAATAATAGAAGAGGCAAAATTGATCATTATTTATTAAATTATAATGGTTAGTCTCAACATTAACATGGTTAATGATAAAATGAGATAGAAGGAATCAGAACCTGAATGGCGAAGAGAACTACCTATTAACATAAGAATCAGCTTTTGTTTATTCTAAGGAGATAAAAGCAGAATTATCAGTTGGATCATGTAGTTTAGATAGAAAACAGGCATCCCGGTGTCTCGCCCCTGTGCTGAATGTCAAAGGTAATGCTAGTAGAGAGCAAGGGGATTGTAGACGAGTATATAAAGTAGGCATGGTTTAGAAATGAGATTATTTAGGAAAATATTATTTATAGAAATTATTCATGTGATCAGCGTCATTCAGTCATGAAACTTCTGTGCTTGTGAAGATAGCTTATTAACATGGAGATGGATTGAAATTTAGCTTAAATTTACCAACTGATTGTGCTCTTGTTGCGGATATTAAGGCTGTGTAGTTTGCATTTAAGGAAAGATAGGTAGACAAATGCTTAAAAAGGTTATGCAGCAGTAAATATACTGCATTATAACCAAAGTTAAACGATTGAGTTTCGCATTCAAAGAAAATACTTACTTTCAAATATCTACTATAGTTTTTTTTTGCCTAAATATGGTTTCTTAATATTTTGGTTGACGTGTTTATGGTTGTCACTACACTAACTGTGAATCACAGAAAGCTTAGTTATAGATTATAAAATAGATTGATAGAGAAGGGGAAAAGACACAGTAGATATAGGACAAGAAATATGAAGCTTCCTCGTCTTTTTCTATCCAGTAGTGGTTTCATCATCTGTAATTTAATGGGACCATTTGTTGAACTTAACAAAGCTGCTACCATAGAGAAAGACGTGTCTATTTTCCTCTCCCTGCATGGGACCTAATTACCGTTGCTGCTGCAATAACATTATACACTTATCAACAGCTATCATAGTAGTAAAGAATCTTGACATAATCTGGGAAGTATGATAATTGATAAACCAACATGGTAGTAGAAAAGAAATAAATAATGAGGTAATATATTAGTTCTTCTAACCCTCCAAAAAGGGTAGAAAAATAATGTCAACTAAGAAGTGTTTAAGCTGTGAATGAAGCGTATTATTTTTAATAGATTTTATTATTCATTGTATAGATTTCTTTTTTTTCCCCCCTCTGACCATTATAGCTATTTCATTGTACTGCTATGTATGGACAAGAAGTATTAAGGACATTATAACTTCATATCCGTAGTTGGAAGCTTTATTTAAAAGTTCATGAAGTACAATACAAAATATTGTAGGTGACAATTTAAATTTGAAAACAAAAGAAAAAAATGCAGGACATTCATAATCCAAATTATCCAATAACTAATTTATATCCAAACAAATAAAATATTCAAAATTTATAAAAAATTAGAAAGCTTTGCTGGGTAATTAAATTCTCTCGTCTCAATAAACTCACATTGAATATCACATTAACTCACACAAGTAGAAAAACTGATACCTTGAAAAATTCATTCACTTGTGCATCAAAATATGAGCAACATTGCATTGTACAAAACAAAGTACCAAAAACCCTTTAAAAAAATAAGTGGGGTAAAGAAGAAAGGTTTATTTACTTATTTATTTTTTCTCACAAACCAAGGAGAAAGGCTTTGAATTGAAAAATGAAAGACTCACTGCATATGATATAATCAATGAGCTAATCATTTAAGAATAATAGTAATCCCCATCATCATAATCCAGTGAGCCAAAATTTTCCTTGTGATTATGTTCCTTAGCATTTTTCTTCACCTTTTATTTTTCTCTCATAATTTTTTTGTTTGAAAATAGGTTTTCAAGAACAAAATCATGCAACCTTTTACTATGTAAAATAATCTATTTTCACACCATACCCAACACTCATGTCTGGCATCCATTCAAACTCTTCCTCATCAAAAGCCAAACACTCCTGACACTTTAACAGTCTCCATCCCCACTTTCTCTATCTCTTTTCCCCACACAAAACACTGTTTTCAAAATTCTTTTCCTTTATTTTTAATTTTTTTTTATTTTTATAGTACTGTTCCATAATTATTCAGAAATGGGCCAGAGATAAAAATACTCACATAACACATAAGCCACAAAACCTCTTCTCATATAACGCTCTCTCTGATATTTTCCTTCAAAGAAAAAAACAAATCCATTTCATTTTCATCACAATGTCTCTTCCCGTTTTCTTTTTCTTTCTTATATCATCACTGTTCTTCAAGCTTTCATTTTCAACCACAGTTCTTGTAGATGGATCTTTAGAGTGGAAGAACCCCACTGTTTATATTGGTGACTCCATCAGTAAGTACCAACACCATGAATCTTTACACAAAAAAAGCTTACTAATTTTACTAGCTATCATTACTCTGTTTCCTCTCTGTTTTTTCTCTGTTTTCTATCTGATAATCCTCTGTTTCCTCTCTGTTTCCACTCTGTTTTCACTCTGTTTCAGTTTTCAAGCACAAGCAGCACTACAATCTCTGCATTTTCAAGAACCAGAAAGCCTTCAATCTCTGCAATTTTACTGAAGCTACACTTCTCACTGATCCCAACACTACTTCCTACACGGTAATATAATACCCTTCAAATTTTCATCTGGGTTATTTGAAAACACCTTAAAAATTCAATCTTTTTTGTTTTTCCTTGTTCTTCAGTGGCACCCTTCTCGTGTTGGTTTCTTCTACTTCACGTTCTACAATGACTCACTCAAAGCTTGTCAAGATTCACAAAAGCTAGCCATTGAGGTAACATCAGCAACATCTTCAGCAACATCTGCAGCACCAGAAGCTTCTTCTCCAACTGCAACTACTCCAGCTCCTTCTTCTGGTGGAGATGTACAATCTTCTCCTTCATTTCCATGGCCTTTTCGCCCTCATCAAGGTTCTTCACCAGGTCCAGCACCAACACCAGAAGCAAGCTCACCAGTAACAGTTCCATTAGTACCGTTTAAAGGTAGTGGTGATGGCATGCCTTTTATTAACAGTAACCCTGCTGTTCCTCTGCCTACTGGTGAAGTTGATTCTGCTACCATAAATCCAATTCCTACTTCTGGTCATCAAGGACAGGTTCCCATACTCTTCTCTAACTCTTTTTTTTTAAAGTATGCACTTATTAATGGTTAGCCTTTATGCAATTGGTTATGTTGTCGTGCACTTTTATGAGATTTAAGAAACTATATTTATATGAGTGCATTTGGTTTTATGGTGGAGAAAATTTATAGTAGTGAAAGTTTCAATTGATGTGCGTAAACCTAAATGTGCGTGTGTTTTGTGCTAAACACCATAAAATGTGTTTGTTTTGTACTCAAGCTAAATACTTTTTGAGGTTCCTTAAGGAGTCACGTATCAGACAACATATGTTTATAACAGGAAACAATCTTCATCCCACCTTTCGATTTTGTATAGCTGAGTTAGGCCAAAACACACGTTCTTAGCAAACATGATATCAATGATTGGTTTAAGATCTGTTTCGCTACTTACTATCAAATTTCCGCTCTTGGGTCATCCGTCATTTATTTTCACGCCCAAGATGTCAAGTTCTATGCGTGACAAAAGTGTGTTAAGAGTCTCACATCGAACAACGATATATAACCTCACCCTTTAAGTTGATTTTTTATGGTGACTTAGAGAAAACCACACATTATTCTTAACAATGAGCTATAACAAGCAAGAAAGTACTAGAATGTGTGTCTTGTGCTAAGCACCTTGATGTGATTTATTTGCTAACTATCAAGAATAAGAACTATAAATGTGTTTAATTGATGTAAGATATTGACGAGTACCAGGATTGGTGAATACTGATTGGGAGTTGATTTCTTTTGTGAGTGATTGCAGGTGATGATTGGACCATTTGGATTTCATGTCGCTGTGCACATTATGGCATTGCTGTTGCTGTAAGAAGAAAGAGTTGTTTTGTAGGCCATATTTATGTAAAAAAATGGGGTAGGGAAGGTAAACCAAATGAAATGTGGTGAAATGGATATAAAGTAGCTTTAAGAGTGATGATTATACCATGTATTAAGATGCTCTTACATTCTACTTTAGAGTTTTTAGTACTTTTTGCAATGTAATTTATTTCTACTTTTGCTTTTTATTAATTATTCCCTTTTTGATTTGATGTTAATTATTTATGCGGTCTCAATATGACTATATAAGAATTAAGATGATTAGATACAATGCAACATAGTCACATGGTGGGGACTATGAGTCTCAAGTCAGGTCATTCTCTAAAACATTGTCTGGTCCACTGATTTTGAATTTGAATTCAATAAAGTCAATATTATTAGCACTCGCGCGGTCAGAATATCGGCCGTGACCGTTAAATCGAGATCACACCGTTTAATATTTGAAGTATTAAACTTGAAGTTAAGACTGATTAGTCTTAACGACTAATTAATTCTGTCTCATTGAATCTGATTTATCAAACCTGATTTATCAGGTTAACTCAATTCTCAAATATCAACTGTGGTTATACTACACTCAAGTTTTATATCATCATTCAATCTCGCATGTTAAAAATTTATCTAGAAAAAAACTTTCAACAACTCGTTGAAACCCTTTTACAAAAGCTTGTTATAAAACGAGGGGTGACAACAAAATTTTAGTAAAAAACCAATATAATGGGTGGGATGGCACTAAAAAAAGGTATATGGTGGGGGTGTTACTAGATGTCTTGAAAAATTTGAGAGGCTAATTTATTTGTATTGTTAATTTTTTTTATATTGAGAACATGAGAAGACGGTAGTATTATCAGTAGATTGAATGATATAGGCTAATAAGTGCTCTAGTTAACATCATAGAAAATGTTGGTGATGATCCTTTGCGTATTAGGGTAGGTAGATCAACTCCCACCAATTTTCATTGTAAGAGAATCGAAGAGATTTATGGACTACTAACTTTCCGTCGTAGAAGTGGTAGTGGGAGACGCA